AAAAAAAAAAAAAAAAAGTCTTCCAGGGGCTCTCGGGGGAGCTGGGCCACGTTAAACAGTGTTATTACATCAGTCTGATGGCGCACAATAACCAGTGTACATTTCACCACCTGAGCTTGCGGTGTCATTATCTGCTCCATGCAATAAATAGCACATGCATCCCTCATCTATCTCTCTGTCCGGATGACCATCTGTGTTTGTCACGCTGAAATGGTAATAAGCCTCCCTCCCTCCCTGCCGCCTCCCTGTAACGCCTTCTCTTGCGTTACGTGTGTTCTTGACGCTGAGGCTGATGATCAGTCACAGCGTGTTGTGATGTCGGCCTTACAATGCATACATGCTCAACGTAGGTGTTTTTACGCCCTTGGCAACACTCGCGGTATATTCGCCGCTAAAATATCGCTGGCATCAGGCGAGATCCTCACACCTCCAAAAACTTTTCAGGAAAATAAAACAACCCCCCAAAAAAAGAGTGTGTGTGTGTGTGTTAAGCCATTTTGGTCAAAAAGTGAACAAACAAATGTAGAGACTGAACCATATGATTTGTGTAAAAACATGAAATTCACCAAATGTGGACATGTAAGCAGATTTTTTTTAATTTTCAAAACATTGTCTTCTAACCTTTTTTTTTTCTCCCAACCCATAAGTAGCCCACACATATATTTTACATTTGCAAAATCTCATGGCGTGTCACTCAACAAAAATGTAACCGGAGCAGATTCAGTTGATTGAAATAATGATGATCTCATTTTAATTTCCTTACAAGTTGACTTAATGTGATATCTGTGCCTGTTTGGTTGAACACAAAGCTCATTACACAGTCGTATGAATGGCAAGAGGTTGAGTGTTTCTTCTGCCGTCAAGCGGAAGAGCGTTTTCATTGTTCTGCCTGTCACCACTGCATAACTGGCAAAAATAAATCAACCCATTTACATTGTTTGTGCTAAATAAATCATCATACTCGGACTAATTACGTTGGATTACTTCCCACGGCACAGCAGATGATCCCCGTCTGTCCTTGGGAATAACTGATCTATAACCATTCAAAAACCGTCCACAATCTCATTTGTTTTTGTAATTGCCAGAACAGATTTGATCCGCGATCGTTTACTCGGCATTGACCTTAGACCAGTGGCTCTCAAACCGGGGTTGGTGAGTTGTATCTTGGGTGTTCATGAAATCATTCCCAATAAACAATGCATCATTTGAAAAAGATGGCACATTTCGGAATCGACGAACCCATTTCTTTATATAAACCGTAGTCTTAAATTGCTTCACATGCCCACAGTTGACGAATATTCACGACATCCCCTGACCTTAACCCTCAGGAGGGCAAGGAAAAACTAAAAAACATCAGAGGAAAAATGAGAAACCTTGAGGAGGGGCCGCAGATGGGAGACTCCCCCTTCCAGGATGACTAGACTGCAATGGATGCCAAGTGGGCAACATGTGACACAAAATTTGTGTCAAATGTAACGTGAGAATAATGTCAAAGTCCATTTGACAGGATGTAAACGCTGCGGGTAGACGTCCTCAGTGACCTTTGTGATTTTTTTGGGTATTCAGGGGTGCACATGGCAGCCATGTTTTAATTAAGAATATGAGGAGGTCCCTGAAAAGGTCACAAATTCTCAACATTCCGATTAGAATTAGCACCTCTAAAGATCAGATCCCAATACTGACCTCATATTTTCCTTTCGATGCTCCATCAGTACATTTTTTTGCTACACGCCCAACGACTGGAACCCAAGCACCAGCACGCCCCTGCTCACAGCGTCTCCCTCCAATAACCCAGCTGTAAGATGCTGCAAAGGATGTTGCTTGAATGCCGTCAAAGGCTCAGCAGCAGCAGCTGGAGGAGCCGATGCAGAGCAGCTGGACACAGGAGAGAAGATTTGGCCGTGAGCTTGAGGTTAGAGTGCGCGCTGCAGGAAGGAGGGAGTGGAGGGAGGGGGCGTGCGGGGGGGAATGAACGAAAGGGTGCCGCGCTGAGGATGGCGTCACGAGAGGTTAACAAGGAGACGGAGGACAGGGAGGAGGGAGATGAGGAGATTTCAGGAATACGGCAGCTCATGCAGAAGTGAGACGAGGGGAAGATTAAGGGTTTCGGAAGCGGATTGAGTGACAAAAGTGGAAAGGGGAAGAGAGAGAGAGAGAGGGCTTTGTCAGCAGGTGAAAGACAACAGGGTGCCCCCCGATAAACCGCGGGAAAGATATGAGGGGTTACGCCGAGGGCAGGCGGAGGCAGGGAGGCATCGGCAAAGCGGGCAAACGGCAGAGAGGGAGCAGACAGTGAAAAATAGATGAGCAGCGTCGAATGTCGGAGTGGCCATGTGTCTGCGCGCCGAGCAGCGGCCCTAGTTAGATTAACAGCAGCAAATTGAGTTTCCCTAAGAGGGGAATTTACTTAACGTGCTGCCGCTGGAGCTTGAACGAGCCCTGATTCTTCTTATCATATTGTTCAATTGAAAAAGGGACATGTTGAAAGCTTTTCTATTCAACCCCCCGATTACACCGGTCCGAGATAAGACCGAGGCTACGAAGCGGTGAACGAAATAGAGCCCGTATATCAGATAGACAGACGTGCCTTTCCAGATTGGCTATTTTTAGGGAGGAAGTGGCAGCCAGTAATGTGTTGGAGCAGGTCATTAGCTCGATAAGTAGACGGGGGAGTCTTTGAATATGCGCCGCACCAGAAATGCCTCTTTCGTTTAGGAAAATAGGCGAGGAAGGGTCAGCGGTAATCTCGACACGCCATTAGCGCCCACGCGGCGGGGATGTCACGGTGAAGGCGTCGCATTTGTGCATGCCGATACATCAATGACAATATGGACGATCAACAGCGGATACATGCCGTGTCACGCTCTGGACACTTACCCGTGGCGGGACATATAAGTTAGTACTTTGGCCTTCGGTTACCCGACTTCATCCACATCTTAATACCGCCGCTAGCACGTTGCAAATATATAAAACATGTCATGGTTTATATTGGCTGCAGGGATGGGCAAGTTAAATGCTGGAGTGTGGCGCCACAATTTTTCATGCCACTGGGGGCGGGGGCACATAGGACTACACACTTCCAAACCAAATGGTTCATAAAATCAAATAAAAATGGCACTTGTATGGATATAATATATGCACACACGTAAAATATGTGCTTTTAATATGTTTCGTTGTTCATATTACATTTCTCAAACATGTGTACTGCATTAAAAAATAAAATAAAACGCTATCCTAATCCAAAAAGAAAGAGTTTTATGCAAACAACAAAATATCCACAAAAATGGCCATTCAAGGACAAGCACAAAACTGCTCAACAGCAAACCCATATTAAGTGCAATAAATAAATGTGTGCATTTTATTATCTCTTTACAACTCTTCAAAACAATTATTAGGACTCCGCGTATTGTAGTATCGGGCAATGTAAGACCCGGTCTAAGTGCAGCTAAGCCATGTCTGCCATCTAGTGGTGAATGGTGATATTACAATTTAAAAGTAGAGTCCAAACCTATATATACTCGGCACTCACGAATTGGCATTTTCTCAGATTTAGTTTTTTTCCCCGATATATATATATATATATAAAATATTCCCCTCCATTTTTTGGGGGAAGGGGGCATCGGAGGATTAATCAATAGGTTGCTCAGAATACAAAAAAGCATATCAAAAAATAATACACCTTAATGACCAGAAATATTTATTTAATGTATTCATGTGTTGTCTGAACTTGACTGTATACGTTTACATTTCTACTAGAAATCAAAAGTGAATAGAGTCTGTGTCACCGAAATGAACTTGATGAATGGGAAAAATGATCATTTCCAGCAGTCTAAAAAAAAAAAAAAAAAAATCCACACTCTTTATTTTTGCCCATTTCCTCACTTTGTCAATAAAAACTAAAACGTTGCAGTGCATTGTATGTGGAGCCTCAAACACGATACGGGGCCGCAGTTTTTCAATTTTAGCGCTTCGGACATTGTGCGGTGCTCGGTGTCTCGTGCGTGGCGAAGAGTTGCTGACTGTCATTTTTGCGCCACGGTTCGCTTGAGTCGCTTGAGACATGAAGGTTCGCGTGTAACTGTAACGAACTCAAACGACTACATTTGGGCGTGCCCGCGTATTCGGCGTTGGTGCTCGGCTTCGGTCTCGCGCGCGTCATACGCGGTCGGTTAACAAAGGCTCCTTTCTTCCCCATCTGTGTTCTGACATGAAGGAATGGCAGAGGAGGACACGACTGAAGAGTTATCGAGTGAGGGACAGTGAGCCTTTGTAATTCTCCGCAAGAACGCAGAGCTGAATGATGCGACGCCATATGTGCGAGGCCGCGCGCGCTTTTATGAGAAGAGGAGCCAATGATAACCTTCCCCAAATTTACCGTCTTTGACGTATGTGCCGCTATTGCAGTTTTGCCGCGTTCTGACCCCTCAATTAAATGTTATCCATTACGGTAGCACACTCGAGCACTATTATTAATTGACTCCTTTATGTTCCGCCATAACAGTGAAATCGAATTACTTAAGTCCGAGCTCGAGATAAATTAGTTATTATGACTTTTGAGGAGAGTCGAGCAACTTAAAAATGTATCACTGCAGCTTATTTCACGGTTCACTAGCACAGAGGCTCATTAATGCTGAAGCCGTGTGGCAAAATAACAATTTCGGGCCTCTTTCTTGTCTTAGCCGGCGCATAGTGGCGCTTTTGTTCTGGTATTAGTTGAGTCAGGGCTGGCCCACATGAGCCCTTAATCCCAGTTAGAAGTGCTGCGGCAAAAATCAAAAGCCTTAATCCTACATTAGCATGAATTTGCCTTTAGTTTTTCCTTCACGAGGAGGGTTTTCTCCTACCTCGCTTTGAACATTTTTGGATGAGGCCCCTCTTCCCCTGGCAGTGCGCTGACATTTCAGCGATGAATCAGCGATGTGGTGACTATGTTTTCAACCGGTTTGGCTGACCTTCATGTATTTGTATGTGTGTGTGTGTGTGTGTGTGTGTGTCTACAGAGTGCCTCCTACCCCTGCTGAGTGAAGCCCCAATCACATTTCAGTCATCTCCAAGCAGCCTACAGTGGGACCATGCATCTGTGCAGCACAGGCGGCGCACTGGTCCAATTCAGCAGGCTGATCCCCGGGTTCCGCCTCAGGACCTCCCCCCTGTGTCTCCTTCTGCATCTCATCATCCTGCTAATTAAAGTGACCGATCTTTCCGCAGTACCAGGTATGTCCGGTGTGTTTTCCTTTTCCTCGTCATGTTATTGAAGCATACCTGCACTCTTTCGTAGCCCAAGGTGCAAGCGAGCCACCAGCGAAGTTAAAAAAAAATAGGGAGCAGTCATTCAAGGTGCTGTCACATGCCCTGGCATGTGGGCAAGGAGAGCCCCAGTCACAGACAAACTTTCAGGATCAATACAAATGCGAGTTTGTTTCTTTGCAATCTATTTTGCTTTTTATTTCTACAATACAGTGGTACCTTTCTTTCAAAATTCTAAATGTTCAACACGTGTGTTAAGACTTTTTGCACGATACTATTTGTCCGTTTCCATTCATTCCGGTCCATTCCTTTTGTCTGAAACCTTCCTAAATTCTTGCGAGAACAGGCTGTCCTACATAATCATTTGGTTGCCATAGGAACTCAAATTTCAGCGATCGCCGCGAGCATTTCTCAGGAAATAGGCAGGACGTCTGAAGATATTGCACGTTGACATTGAAATAGACAAGCAGTCAATCGGAGTTGAGCATTTCTTGATGCCTTGCCATCTTGTTACCTTCCGAGACAACCTTCCGACCCTTTTTTCCAAACCAATCGTCAGGGCCTCGCTTCTTCTTCTGGTGAATGGCAGCTGCTGTATAATCAGGTGTGACTGTATTGTACCATCGTGTGTCGGATTTGGCACGCCCATGTTTGCACCTCTGTGAGAAAGCGTGCGCGTGTGCGTGCGCGCGTGTCATGTAGAGGAGTGAAAGCCGCGATGTGAGTACATTGGAACTGGACCGCTGCTTGTTAATGCGTTTTGATAAGCCGGGAGGTTCCATCAGCATGTTTCTCATCATCGTTTTGATGACAACATTTGCACAGATTTCCCGCCTCAGTGGTCGACACGCACACACCCACGCACACACACTCGCAAAACAAACAATGCAAATTCCATTTCTCTGGAAGGTATTTCTTGTTGTTGTCATGTTGTTTTTATGTTTGTCTGGCTAATTTGCTAATTTGGCTGTCATATCGGCGACTACACGTTTCGTCTACGCGGGATGCGGTGAAGCTATACGTTTTCATGGCAACCTTTTGGTTGGGCTGTCGAAGCATCTCATGTAAAAAAAAGGCGTCGGAGAAAATACAGAGAATTATATTTCATTTGGGAGACATAGCACCAAATGTTGGAACTCTTTCAATGATCAATCGTGATTTAATCATCATCAAAATGGGCAACATATTTTGCGGTTATGAAAGGATCTTTTACACCTCATTGGCCATTTGCTTGTTGTAATGCCTTCAAAATGTATCATACACATATTGAACTAGACACAAAAAACACACACACACACACACACACACACACACACACACACATATATATATATATATATCCTAAATAAGAGTATTATACTTCATGGTAAACACCTGCTATTTTCCCATCATTCCAATTCGTTTAAAATTCACCTTTGAAATGACATGTATTAAATATGCAAACAGATCAATGTGCAGGTAACGTGTCATAAAAATCTCGAGTTACTTTGATCATGCTTTTACGCCTTTTATTTCCTGGCCCCTTTTCCTTTTATTTTTCGAAAGCATTATTATTTCCTGGCCACGCAAAAGACACCAATTCTGTGGAATTGGACCTTCTACAAATGTGTCTCAGTCATCTTTACGTCTGTTAGTGGCATTTGTCAAAACACACATAGGGCAAGAAATGCATTAGCGAACGTGACTTCAAGGCTTGTCAGACCACGGCTGATTTCGGTGTCAACCCCTGACATCAGTCATTTTTCTAAATACGAGCCAAATGCAATTTGTAACAGCAGCTCTCGCTGTCTTTCAAAAGAGGATGCATTTCACTTGCATTTACCACTTCCAAGGGACTGTCACATCCCGATTTGTCGCCGCCATATAGACTTCCCTTCCTTCCGATGTTGATTGCTTCGTTACACCTGCCACCGCAGCGCGGCCTCAGTCAGTCACTTGGACGATCACCAAAAGTAGGCAATCGGTAGGAGATTAGTCCGCTCCGGTGAAAACAAGCGGAAGCTTTTTATTAAGAGAAAGATTCCCTCTCATTAGGCCCCTATTTTGCGGGCGGCTCGACACAACCGCCATGTCATAACAAGTTTTTGTTGCGTGCAAATCCACCCAGAGTCAGTGCCTTGCTGGGGGCTTTTCCCTGGCTTTAAGAAGAGGCTTAAGTGGTAACATTGCCAGCGGGGTCGGTTTTGCAAGAGGATTGGTGTTGAAGCGCATTTAAGGGAGTACAGGAAACATTCTGGACTGTACATAAAGCCAGCGAGATCATGTTCGAGCTCAACAAGGCATATGAAATTCGGGCATAATCCTGTCACAGGAACAAGGCAGGCTGAGGTTACAATTTTTTATTATTTTTTTTGTAGTTTTGCAGGTTTTAGGGGCTCACGACTCCCAATGTCCCCGAGCCTCTCTTTGAGATTAGTCGGCCAGATATACGGTGCTCTTGAGACTTCACGTGACGGCTCCAAATTTGTTCTGATTGACCGCGCTGTGCCAACTGCAGCTTTATGTATCATCCTGGTGAGGATTGTGGCGAAGCATTCAATGAGACCACTTCATTTCTGACACTCGGGGATTTGCTTGATTTATTATTTTTTTTCTTGAAGTGTGTTTCTTTTCGAGAAATAATATAAAAACACCCACCGAGGCGTTGCTACATCTTAGAAAAACAATCTTCGCATGATCCAAATGCAAGCCAGAAAATGTGTTGTGGTCTGATGACACGCGGGAAGAATTTCTGGCCCCAATTTTTTTCATTTTGCGCCAAAACAAAATTGCACAATCACCAGAGGAACGCCACTCCCACAGAACAATCTGCTGGTGGGAGGATTCCTTCAGCTGGAACTGGGGCTTTAGGGACGGGTGGGGTGATGTTTACGACAACTTTTTTTTTTTTTTTTTTGTCCTAAAAGCTCCAGATGTCTCATAGAAAGCCGAGGAGGAATCGACTGAATTCAAATGATGATTGTACTTTTTGGAGTGGCACAGCCAAAACCAAAAAATCCAAAAGAAAAATCTGTGGTGTCACCTAAAGATGGCTGTGCACAGGATAGGCTCTCAAAATCTATACAGAGTAAACTTTGAGGGTAAAATATGAAGAGTAAATTTTACACTGGGGAAAAAAAAAAAAAAAAACATAGGACAGATTTTTTTTTTCACTCAGAAAAGTACATTTTACTGGGAGAGTTTTGGCGTACATTTTGCTTGCATAGTCTTAGTTCATTAAAATGAAATAAATAAATAAATACAGCGTTGCAAAACGAGCCCTGAGCATCCTACAGTTCCTCGCCGAGGAGAACGTCGCGGCGCTGGAGCAAGAACTCCTTTTAGTGAACGACCCCTCGCGAGCTCAGAGGTCATCAACTTCCGGCCTTTTAGTCATTCCAAAAGTCCAGGACACACACACACACACACACACACACACACACACACACACACACACACACACACACACACGGCGAGGCATCTGTTTTCTGTTTTACAGCCCCCGTTGATGGAGCGGCCTGCCAAAGAACCTCGGGGCCGCAGAGAATGTTCTTGTTTTCAAAACTAGATTCCGCACCCATCTTTTTAATCCACATTTTCAGTCATATTTAACTTTCTTTCTGGTTTTCTTAACTTTTCAAGCTGTAATCTACGATTTATTTACACATATTTACTATTTTCAGTACTTTTAGTCTTTTATTACTATTTATTTTATATGGTTCTGATATTTTAATCTATAATTTATTTTTGTATTTTTCTCTTTGGGTCCTTGTGGGTGGTGGGGTGGCCATGTGTTGGGGTGAGGACTGTGTGAGGGCGGGGGGGGGGGGGATTGCAGGAAGCACTCTTGGTTTAAGGATGATGTATGAAAGGCGCTTTCCAAATCAGGTTTGATTGATTGGTTGATTTCGCTTCGGAGATGCGAAAACGCGCAAACAGCTTTTTAGAATCCGTAAGTGATTATTTGATGGCGGCTTCTTTTTTTTTTCAGCTCCTATTCTGTCTTCAGAAAATCAGGAGTGAGTCAACACAGCAGGACCTTAGCCGCCCAGACTTGGGAGTGGGGGCGGGGGGGGGGGAGGGATTCAGGTTGCCATGGTAAGGGTCATCCTGCCTTCACCCTGATGGATCGCAGCGATTCTGTAGCTGACGAGGAGTTAAGCTGGCCACCATGGCAACAGGCCACAGACAGATAGCAAAGGGGCGGGTGCGCGTTGGAGCGCTTTGATTGATCTGACTCACTTGCGAGGAAAAATGTAGGTTCGGTCATATTGGCTCAATGGCCGGCTTGGAAAATTGCTGTTTTCGTGCACAGGGCAATTGCAGCACTTTTCTAATCCTGCATTCCAACACCAAGCATAATAGTCCCCATCATTCTCCTCAACTTCCTCCCTCTGGGCAAAAACAAATTCACAGTAATGTTGATGGACTGACCGAAATGGTCAAGATCTTCAGAATTTACAAGTGCAAATCCCCCGAGGTGATGCTTCTGCTGACAAATTGACCCGCCTGCTATTAATGCACACCAATTAGATGCTTATGTTTGTCATGTTATGCGCCTAATGCTTGCATAAGAGTGTCTTTTGCTGCAGTTCAGAGCTTGACTGGGCTGGAAAAAAAAGCAGAGTGTAAGAGAGTTGGACACAGAGAGGCGTTCCTCTAAAGCCCAAGCCAATCTTTTATTTATGACCCACAGGAAGTCCTTCAGCGTGTCCTCCAGATGATACCCAGGAATTTTTGCTCAACAAAATGCAGCACAAAACAATTTGGGACATGGTCAGCAGGGTGTTTGTTGTGTCATCGGTCTTGGTGATCAACATTCACATGCATTTATTTTTTTTTTGTTTTTGCTTTTCTCCTCTCAGCTGCGCCCAAATTCACCAAGATTCCCACAGACCAGATTGGAGTATCAGGGGGCGTGGCGTCGTTTGTGTGCCAGGCCAGCGGGAATCCCAAACCGGTCGTCTACTGGAACAAGAAGGGCAAGAAAGTCAACTCTCAGCGTATCGAGGTGGTTGTCACAGTGCGCAATGTCAAAGTCGATCGTTTGCTGCATGGCAAAGAATTTAGATTTTAGAGTCTCTGCATGTACTTTTTAATCAAATAGCCCTTAAGCACATGTTTTAGCTAACGGTACATTGCCGCAATGCTTCTGACAGTGTATAATTACAGCCTGTTTAAAAATGTCATCTGTTTCCTAAACATGAAACGTGAAAGTACCATGTGAAGTCCACACTACCCAGAAAAGTGCCAAGTTGCCAATTTCAAATGATTCATTAAAAAAAAAAAATGGCAAGTATATTAAATGGGGCTTCAACGTCAGTAAAAATCACGCGGTTCTCTCCGCTCTTGGAAGCTGTGGGAGCTGTCAATCAAGCACCACGATTACGACTTGGGAAAACAGGATGCTATTTTGTCAAGCGTCTTATGACTTCATATAAATACACGTTTTAGCCTCCAAAACATCTCCACTTTTGATCTTCCCATCACTCATTTGCCACGGCGGACAACGAGGCGCTCCAAAGCAGCCACACCAGCTAGAAACCCTGGTCCACACAGTGGCTTATTTAAAAAAAAAAAATAATCATAATTTTACCTCTTTCTCACTTTTCCACCTTTCTGTGGGTAATCTGCACTCATGTACAAAAAATAAAAAATAAAATAAAAATACAGGAACCCAACTAAACATGATGACCCAATTGTGCAATTCCAACAATGGTGTCAATTTGTATCCTTCGCCTTTTTACAATCTTGAATTTTCATCAGAACACAGGTGCGACGTACAGCGGTGGAAATCAACCAACACTCCTTCAATACCAGCATTAACATTTAATTGGCATCCATTACAATCATTACGTGCTAAAAGTTTTACGGTTCACTCGAAGGCAATATTCTGCATTATGTTCTTTGGCAGTTGAGGCCCAGCCATTGGGAAGTGGGGTTAAATGAAGCAATCGTTGGCTTGCTCGGAGGGATGAACAGATGTAAACCATTGGAAGCCAATTTTCTTTTTTGGGGGGAAGGGGGAGGGAGGGGTCATGCACCAATGAGCAACTTGTATCTAATTGAAGCTTTAGTATGTGGTTCTTTTCATACATGCATGCTACTAAAACCATGACCGCTACTAAGACTTGCCTGAAAATTAATCATTGATTGTCACTTAATGCATGGGACCACATTGCATTCCCGACAGTGAGCCCAGAATGGTAAGTATGACTTGCTGGGGTGTCTTGCCACAAGACACCAGATTCTTGCAGGTATGTGTCAAAATCAGGGATGTCAGACCCATTTTTTGTCGCGGGCCACTTCGGAGTTACGACTTTCCGCAGAGGGCCGGTGGAAAATCTCATTATTGACCCATTTTTTGTCGCGGGCCACTTCGGAGTTACGGCTTTCCGCAGAGGGCCGGTGGAAAATCTCATTATTTATTACCCATGACAATTTGACATTTCGGTACAGATTGCAGCAAGAATCATGATAGTTGACACACATGATTTGTTCTAGCGGGCCACATAAAATGACGTGAGGGGGGGGGGGGCCGGATCTGGCCCCCGGGCCTTGAGTTTGACACATGTGGGCTAAATGATGGGGTCAAGTACAGTACCGATAATTAGCATAAACTCCACACTGCTGTTAAATTTCTGTTCCAACTTCCACATTACTGCTCAATCTAATTTTGGGGATTTAGATGCCGCTTGAAATTTACCCCCAAAAATAACAACCAAAGAAAAATATGAGCAATGATGGACCAAACAGCCGATGCAGTCGTACCAAACCCGAAACCACACCTTAACCCCTTTGTGGTTTTGTAACATTTTTGGTGGAATTATAATTTTACAATCCGAGCGGGACACCAAATTGAGATAGTGACAGGCAAAATATTGATTGCGTAATCATGCCTTTCATGACGTGAACAAAAAAAAAAAACAAACGATGACTGGAATGGAATTACTTTTGTAACCAGATACAGATGACGACAAAGAAAAATACGAACTTGTGACCCCCTGCGCCATTCATCAAATTGACCCTTGTGTTTATTTTCAAAACTCTTTCTATCGTGCCAAGATGACACCAAAAGCACCGGCGTACACGAAAGTAGCAATTGGTTTCAAGGAAGTACGCTGCTAAATTTAGCGTAGGTTGTTACTGCGACGGCGTCTTTATTGCATTCGTACGTTTTGCTCTGCTGAATGGAGGTCTCGTTTGTACTCGTCAATTAGCCGATATACTCAGGCACTTCCGGTGCTTTTTTTCTTCTCCAAATAAGATGATCTGCAATGTTGTAAAATGATCTTGAATTGTACAACAGGGATAAATAAAGTTTTCTAAATGTGAATCTAAAATGATTGGAAAGTGTTTGGAGACTCATAGTTTGTGGTATATTCATGGTTTAAACGTTTCGCTCTAACTCCTCTCGTTTACGATTGTGGATCCGCTTCCACTGCGACGACATTAATGTCTTTCTCTCTTGCCATCCAGACCATCGAGTTTGACGACGGCGCAGGCGCCGTGCTGAGGATCCAGCCTCTCAGAGCACCTCGAGACGAGAACATCTACGAGTGTGTCGCGCGTAACAGCGCAGGAGAGCTGTCAGTCACGGCAAAGCTGGCCATTATCAGAGGTGAGGCAAAGTCATGATCCCTCCATTTTCCGTTCCGGGCATGCTGGAGCCTATCCCAGCCGTTTTTGGGCAGGAGGCGGGGGACACCCTGAACCGGTGGCCAGCCGATCGCAGGGCAGACAAAGAA